GGAGGGGGGAGAGAGACAAAGGGGAGAGAGAGACGCAGAAAGGTAATAAGAAGCAAGAAAGGATATTTAGCTTTTTGTAAATAGCGAAAACATTCAAAAGGGGCCCGAATATGTTTTTTTCCGTTTTACTGTAGTGTGTTATATAGGTTTTTGTGCATAAATATGGTCTGCAAAGGGAGGGAGTTTCTCTCCCACACACTCTTCTTCTTCCCCCNGCCGCAGTGACGCGTCCTTAAACCCGGAAGTAAACTTCTTCCGGTTCCTTCGTCTAAAACGCAATGCAATTTCTCCATAGGATTTTGGAAAATAGCTCGAAATATCGAGCTATTTTCCAAAATCCTATGGAGAAATTGCATTGCGTTTTAGACGAAGGAACCGGAAGAAGTTTACTTCCGGGTTTAAGGACGCGTCACTGCGGCTCTCTATTAAGTATTCCCCTTACTGTCGATTGATTTTTCAGTGATATCTGCACTACTCATCGACTAAAAAACACTAGATTATCCTTGTTAATTACACAACATTGATTGGTTTAAATTGTGTGCAATGCTTTTGTATTTTTCCCCTTTGATTCGGAGAAACAAATATTTTTTCGGAGTAAAGGATGGCAGAAGACATTACACTACCCAGAATCTCCAGCTATCGTTTAGGACTAATAGTTATTAATTGGTGATAAGATTCTGTGGAAGTCCGGAGTATACTCTTTAATCATTGTGTGTGAATTACGGAAAGAAATGCGGCATTCGTGCGTTAGATAGACGATATTCTACTAATAGTTTTGGAATGGGTAAGGAATTATGTAACCAACAGGCAACAGTTTGTGAAGCTGGGAGAGTGTTGTTCTTCATATTTGGACATTACATGCGTTGTCCCCCAGGGGTCAGTATTGGGGCCGAAACTACTATTTCTGCCAAAAAAAGAGTGGCCAAATCTCCAAACTTCTCTTTGTTGTGAAAACTACGAAAAGAGTGGCCCATGGTGGTGGTGGGGTTATGGTATGGGCAGGCGTATGTTATGGACGATGAACACAGGCCACTCGATTCACAACTTTACCCTAACCCTAACCCTCACACCAGATACTGACTGGTTTTCGGACCCCCCCAGACCCCCAAAGCTAAAATGCACGTTTCAGAGTGGCCTTTTATTGTGGCCAGCCTAAGGCACACCTGTGCAATAATCATGCTGTCCAATCAGCATCTTGATATGCCACACCTGTGAGGTGGGATGGATTATCTCGGCAAAGGAGAAGTGCTCACTATCACAGATTTTTTCTGATTTGTGAACAATATTTAAGAGAAATGGTTATTTTGTGTATGTAGAAAATGTTTTAGATCTTTGAGTTCATCTCATGAAAAATGGGAGCAAAAACAAAAGTGTTGCGTTTATGTTTTTGTTCAGTGTATGTCAAAAGAGATGGGAAAAAGTCAGTATGTCGAAAAAGTCATAATATAATCTGTTGAAATATGAATGGAAAAGGTCATAGTATAGCATGTTGTGTCATAGTATAATATTTCCAAAATATAAGGAAAAAAGTCATACTATAGGATGTGGAAAGAATATATAAAAAATACATAGTATAGCACGTTGAATATGTCATAGAATGGTATGTCAAAAATACGCTTTCACTTTTACTTTAGTGTAAAATGGCGAAAAAGTCATTAAAAAGTCACAGTACAATATGTTGAAAATATTCATTGATTGATGAAAAAGGTCAAGGTATAGTTTGCTGTGTCATAGTTTAATATTTCATTTAAAATATAATGGGAAAAGTAATATTAGAGCATGTCAAAACATATGAGAGAAACATCATAGTATAGTATGTCTAAAAACGCCCAAGTATAGAGTCAAACATTTGGAAAAAGTCACAGTAGAGTATGTAAACATTTCCCCAAAAGTCATTGTCTAGTTTGTTGAAGAATTTGAAAAAAGTCTAAGTATAATTGTAAAATGTATTATTAAAGTAAAACAAATATTTAAACAATCATCGTAAAGTATAGGATAAGAGGTCATAGTATTATGTCATTGTAGTTGTTGTTGATGGACTTGCTGAAGGTGGCTCTCAGCCCCCTCCCCTTACCTGAGTGATGCAATGACTCCGCTGCGGTTTCTTGACCCTTCTTGATACACGGAGCCCGTCTGGTTTAAAATGGTTTGGAAGTGTCTGCTTTATGTTGAGTCATGAATCAAAACGTATGACCTTTCATATAGAACACATTTGTAATAATAATAATGGGTTTAATTTATAACGCACTTCATATCTGAGTTCAGATCCTGAAGTGCTACAAGCATTTAGCATGGAACAAAAATAAAAACAGTAGGCTACACAACACGGTAGAATGAATAAAAAGCAGTAAAAAATAAATTAACAAATATAAAAATAAAAGGGTAGTAATAAATAAGATAAAAGGTCTAGGAAAAGGCTCTATTGAACAGATGGGTTTTGAGGCCTTTTTTAAAAGCCTTCACGGTCTGTGGTGCTCCCATGTGCTCGGGGAGCATTCCACAGTCTGGGAGCAGCCGAGCAGAAAGCCCGGTCTCCCATAGTACGGAGCTTGGTCCTGGGGGTTGGAGGAGGTTGGTATTGCTGGAGCGAGAGGTCCGCAAGGAAATATGAGGGGTGAGGAACTCCTTGAGGTAGGGGGGGAGGGGGGCAGTTCCATGGATACACTGGTGGGTGAGGAGGGAGACCTTGTATTCAATCCGCAGTTCTACAGGGACCCAGTGTAGTGTTTTAAGGATGGGGTGATATGATTGTATTTGCGCACCCTCATCAGGATCTTAGCAGCGCTGTTTTGAATGTACTGGAGCTTCTGGATGCTTTTGTTAGGGATCCCAATGAGGAGTGCATTGCAATAGTCCAGCCTGAAGGAGACAAAGGCGTGGGCTAGCTTTTCGTCGTCAGACAGAGTGAGTGTGGGGCGGAGTTTGGAGATATTCCTGAGGTGATAGGAGTTCTTGCACAGCTGTTTAATATGGGCCTCAAGGTCAGATGGGCGTCCATTTTATAGATAGAATTGGGAGGGATGGAAACCCTCTTTTAATGGTCACACATGTAGAGCACACAGTGAAATTTGGCCTCTGCATTTAACCCATCCTAGTACCAGGAGTCTAGTACTAGGAGCAGTGGGCAGCTAGTGTACAGCACCCGGGGACCAATGGGAGTGAGGGGGAACGGTAGTCCGTCTGGTGCCTTGCTCAAGGGCACCAAGGGAGGGCAGGAGTTCTCACTTTTAATAATACCAAATGGTTCATAAACGGTAAATGGTAAGGTGTACAACACTTGGAAGGGGCGTCCAACGTCCACACGGCTACCTGACAACGAAGTCCCGTGGAGTTAATATAACTCTTCTGATCGACTGCCCCAGTAGTTGAAATACCCGTCCTCGGCGAACAGGAAGTTTTGAGTCCCCATTACATTCTTCTGAGGGGTGACACAGTACAGAACATCAAAAAAAAGTGACCCCTTAACCCCCGTGAAAAGTGCAAGTCCTTAATTTTTTTTGTAGACGGCCATATGAAAGCTAAAGGTCCCGTAAAAAATTTATAGTCTTGAAAAAGATTTTTTTTACCTCGGTTTTTATAAGGATGAGTGGGTCTTAAACATAGGTCACTTCTTCACGAAATAATAAAATAAAAAACCACATGTCAGACCCCAAAGGAAATGACTTTGGAGTAGGCGACCGAAGGACGGCTCCGCGTAACTGGGAGAACTAAATGAGCTTTGTGAAAGTCTGACCAACCTCCAACTTGTACCCGCATCTACCCTACTTCGAGCTTCGATGTCCTCTACCAGCGGTCTTCGAATAGGTGACCTGAGAGCTACTGGAAATGCAAGTCAACAACTTTAAGATAACCCTGACCGCCAAAGTTTAGCTTCCATATCTATTTTGTTAAATCACGTCGATACGTTTTCTTTTGTAGAGTTTTATTGATGTTTTCACCGTTTTAACATCTACAATATAAAGAACCTAAATTTCTTAAAGAGTGTTGTCACCTCTTTAGCCGCATCAATTTAACACATATAAGTTAGTAAAATCTGAAATCTCTGTGTCAAATTGTTCGTTAGTGTGGGCAACAAAGTACCTTTATTTTGATGACTTTAGGAACAACCATACACGTATTTGTTAAATGCCTAGCACAACCATACAAACTGACAACCGTTGTAGATCTCCGAAGTAACGGTCTTTAAAGGGAAAAAGAAAATTAGACATCTACTATTACAATAAGTCCTTTTTGGAATGAGTCCTACACCAATACCGTCTCAGTACGGGGTCCTACCAGTCATGAACGTGAAGAATATACTAACTCGACTCGAGCTCAACGAGACCTGACTTCTACTGTCGATTCACTCCTGTGTTCTATGTTATCAGAAGGAGGGGCAGCTCTCGCGCGCGCGCTCGCGCGTGTTTCAGTAACTGCACACTCAGAATAGAAGATGAGTACGAATGAAAAAAAAATGTATTTAACGTTGGTACCCGGAATTAAAGAAGTAAAAACTGGATGTCGGTGAAAGGGTTCGCTCTACTACAAATCCACAACTAACCCCGGCCACCCGAGCACCACACAACTCATTCACGATTTCTTGTTAGGTCCAGGGGGAGACTCCAACACAGGAACCCGCTGACGAAACGTATCGAAATTTCAGAAACTGTTTTACAGGGATTGCCGACGAGGTTCCAGATATGACAACTTGCGGAGACACTCGCCGTGGCAACAGCATCCTTGTTTCCCACTCGGACATTGAGTTGCACCCTTTACTTTACGAAAAAGAAATAAAGAAAAAACAGCCGATTATTGATAGACAAAGAGGGTTGTCTTTCTTTACCCCCAATCCGCGTCACAATGTTACCATGTGGGAAGTAGGACTGGAAACCGAAGGACCAGGACGGTTTCGTACGAGGTAAAATGACGGTGACGACAAAGACATCTCGATTTGACCTTTGTATCCCAGACATGGGTACCTATTCTCCTTATGTATTGTTTTACACGTGTCAACACGTTTCATGAAAGGAGAGAAACTCGAGGAGGGAGACGTCGAGGTAGGAGCAGATCGTCGACACTACTATTCTTAAAGATGCACAGGAGGCCACTTTGAATGCCTGGTTCCTAAGTGAAAGCTAATTAACCTTTTGCTTACGACTGGCCTCGCACCGGAGTTCGCTATGCGCACTACCCGTTGATCGTGTGTAAGCAAACTACATGGGTAAAAGCACGTCGACTACGATGCCCAGGCTCCCAGTACTGAGCAATGGTTCGTCAAAAAATTCTACACGTCCCTACCCGCTTGTAAACAGTCTATATAATCAGGAGAAAATTTAGTCACTCTAAATAACAAAGACCTTTGAAGAGTCCGACAACTCAGCAAGAGGTAGTTCTCGTCTAGACCTACACTGAAGACTCTATAGGCTTCTGGTCTTGTTTTGATAGTTCAGAAGAGGAACGAACGTTGATAGCAGTGTTTCGACTAACCAAAATTCTATGCACAAGAATACATCGAATTTAGAGGTTACGTATGTTTACAGACTAGCAGAAAAAGTCTCACAAAGGATTACCCTGGTAGTGCCGGACGATATTGGTGTACCTCAAGACCAGGGTCAGACTTGGGGGCTGCCGAGTGGGAGTCTTTGGGGCGAACACCGCGGGTGTATGTCGCTTGCTAGGTCATGCGAATAAAACAGAAGTGACGTTTGAGGACAACCCTGCTGGTCCTTCCATTTCGTACGACGACTTGTCAAACGACTAACGCTATCCTAAGTTTGACTCTTTGCTGAAGAAAGTTAAAAAAAGAAAAGAATAAAAACGGGTTATACTACGGACAACTCTTTACTTTAGAGTAGTGTCTACTTGAACTTAATCTCTTTGAGAGGTGTAGACTTCTCGGCTCAAACTACACTCATAGAGCCTGAACCTTATTTACGTCGAAAATTACGAAACAATACAGAGTTGTACTATGTGAAGTTCAGTAAACCCAAAATCTGAAAACCAGTATTTTCTCTTTAAGAGTCGAACCGTAATAAGTGTCAACGTGCCAAAACCTCGTTTTGCAATTCCGCGGAAAAAGTCAATGTTTTTTGGATTAAACATTGAGCTGCCCTTTGAATTTTTTTTATTTAAAGCTTTTTAGTCAATAAACATCGGTATTTGTAAGTACAAGTGAGGAATGCATTTGACTGTCAGACTGCTGTTTGAAATTTTTCTTAATGTCTCTGAACATCCATTGGTGCCACAGTTTTGAAATTTCTGAGACAATTAATATAAAAGGGAATAGTCTTCAGTTCGACCATGCGGTATTTAGGAAGATACCGACGTTAGGGTCTACAATTGACGGTTACCCATTTGTTAACTTGTCAAGGTTCACAAGGGTGAATTCCTCAAAAGAGAAAGTCGAATTCCACAAGACCAATGATCACTGTAGTCTGTGATTGGTCCGATAACCGAAGTTGTGGGCTGGAGTGGTCCTCATTGGGCAGCGAACCCTGCTACGTGCTCCGCTCTACCGTCACTTTGACTCTCAACGAAACCATTTCCTTTCAAGAAGCTAACGGAGCACACAAACAGAAAAAGAGCGTCGAACGAATTCCTAATCCAAGAAATACCAAAAAAAAAATTCATAAACCTTTCAAGAGGGTTTCGATGTTATTCTCAAGAAAGGTAGTATAGGATTGTACAACTTTTTCGAATTCTCCGATTGTGAAAGATAGTTTTACGTCCTAAACCCCATTGAACCTCTGTCAAGTTTGACATACATAAGGGCGTGCCTCTATGTTCCTTTAAGGTAAGGTGAAGCAGCACAGCCGTGTAGACTGCGCAGTAGTCTCCGGGCAGTGCTGCCCCAGTTTCGCGAAGTTTGTAGCGTTCTGGCGACGTACCTTTTGTGCCTCTCGTAGCGCTCTGGTGGTGTGTGCTTCCTCAGACCTTTTGTCTGGATTCTATATCAAAAACTGACGATGAACCTCTC